CCCCCCCCCAAAAAAAAAAGAAAGTCCCCCCTCTACCCTTCCTTTTTCTTATTTCCCTCTCATGTTACTTTTGCTACCTCTTTCGGCGTTGCCGCACGGCACACGAAACGAAAAACGAAACGAATGAACCTTCCCACAGAAAATGGCCAGGTTCATCGGTTTGCTATAAATGTAACGAGTGTATTTTGCCACCTTTGTTGGGCAGATGCACTCGTTTCGTTTTCGTTTCCTGTGCCGTGCGGCGAGACCCTTTGTTGTACCTTGTCCGCCTCTTCTGATCTTCTTCTTCATGTTCGTGTTCTGACTCACGCCCTCGCGCGCTGCTGCTTTCCCCTTCGTCTTTCCGTCGTGTTCTTTCTTCCCCTCGTTCTTCGTCTTTCCCTCCTGCTGCTCTGTAGGGCGTCTCTTCTTGTATGTCCTATCCGAGAATCGAACACCCAACCGCCGGCTTGTCAGGCAAACAGCCCTTGGTGCTTTGCGCCCGCACCCTGGTGCTCTGCCTTTCCCTCCTGCGCGGTGGGAGAATCGAATACACAACCACCGGCTTGTCAAGCAAACAGCCTTTGGTTGGTGCTCTGCGCCCGCGCCTTCGTGCTGTGTCTTTGCCTCCGCTCTCTGCCCTTTCTCTCCTTGTCGTGTGATCTCTCTCTCTCTCTCTCCTGCTTCTCAGGCACTTCGTTTCCCTCTCTTGTGTGGCGTCTCTTTTCTTGCCCTGGCTTTCGCTTTCGCCCTCCCTTTCACTTTCTTTTACCGTCCGTCTCTCTCCTCTTCTATCCTTGTCTCTTTTCTCTTATCTTCGATCTCTCCCTTATCCTCTCTCTCTCTCTCTCCCTCTCTCTCTCTCTCCCTCTCTCTCTCCCTCTCCCTCTCTCTCTCCCTCTCCCTCTCTCTCTCCCTCTCTTTCGTTTTTTGGTTGGGATTGCGAGGGACGCTCTCTCTCCTGCATCCTGTAGTCTTGATTGCAAGGGAGGGAGCCGGACTCTCTCTTTCTGTGTTCATGTGTAAGCCCTGGTATTTAATTACTGAAGGATTTTGTCAAGTCTGCTTTTTTTTAAATTTTCTTTTCTTTTGGTCATGTCTGCTTTACTCATGGTCTCACTACTTTCGGTCGCGTCTCATCTTCTTGGCCAGTCGATCGTCGAAGAGCCTAAGTAGAGGGATTTACAGATAGACGGGGAATTAAGCATTACATCTGTTATGCGCAGGCAGGCACGAATGTCAGCAACTGCGCTTGGTAGTGTGTGTGTGTGTGTGTGAGAGAGAGAGAGAGAGAGAGAGAGAGAGAGAGAGAGAGAGAGAGAGAGAGAGAGAGAGAGAGGAGCACCGATCTCATTTAAACCTCAATCGTTGCCCCCGTGCGCGCGTGAGAGAGAGAGAGAGAGAGAGAGAGAGGCGATCTCAATACGATCTGTATCAGAGATAGAGGGGACGTAACTGGAATCAATCCGCAGTCCATCCTGTTCCATTCATTCTATTGCCGGTATTATTTGATTACCGCGTTGTCTTTATTTTTTTTGGTGTTTATGTGAGATGGGGTTCTGTCGTTGATCGTCTAGGACTCGTTTTCTTTTTTTCCTTCCCGAATTCGTTTTTTTTTTTTTCGAGCGGCTTGATCAGGTTTTAATCCATAATAATAATATACTAACAAATAGTAAAACGTCGGCTTTCCTGCGGCGGGCTTATTACTGTACTAATGGGACACGCTGAAGTGGGAGATATCGTCCCCGAACCGGTATCCGATGCCAAGCTCAACACGGCTGTGGTTCGTTAAAGACACCCTGAGACCATGTCACTGTCTTTTCTTTTTTTTTCTTTCTTTTTCTTTCTTTTTCTTTCTTTTTCTTTTTTTTCCTTTTTTAAAACCCATGTCATTGTCAAAACATTCCCGAACCAGTTCTTCCCCCCCCCCCCCCCCCCCCCCCCCCCCCCCCC